TCAAACACAGCATCATTCATTCATGAATTCAACAATTATGAATACTCATCATATACCAAGCCCTAAAAATGCCAAAATCACCATTTCACCCTCATGGAGTTAAAGTCATCACAAACAAAAAGGTCTAATTATAAATCACTTTAAATTAGAGTATGCATTACCCACAGGGTTTAGGAGAGCTAAACCCTGAACTAATGTTTGGCTTTTACAGGATGAATGGTGATTAAATAGATATGTTGAACTAATGTTTGGCTTTTACAGGATGAATGGTGATTAAATAGATATGTTGGTGACCGGGAGAAGAAAAGAAAGGAAAATGAAACAAACAAACGAAAAAACCCAAGTAAAGGTCATGATATCTAACCACTGCTCCTCAAACTTTATTTGGCAAGTGAATTCCCTGGGAATGTTGCTAAATCTTGCAGATTTCAATTCAGTGGGTCTGGACTGGGGGCTGATAGGCTGCATTTTTAACAAGCTCACAGGTGAGACTGCTGAACAGGTTCACACATTTTGCACAGCCAGGGTCCAGAGGCTCTGCCCGTAAGCCAGAGCAGAGAGAACAAGGAAGAAGTCAGAGCACTTGGCAGAAGTCAGAGCGGGCCAGATTACATGGAACATCTTCAGGGATTCAGACTAAGAGAAATGAGAACCTTGAGCATCTCCATTTCTTTATTCTCTCCAAATAACCTTCCTAGGCATTTCATTTTCCCTGGGAGACAGCACTTTGCAATACATAAAGTGTAAGTGAGAGCAAAGGTGTTTATGGACTTCAGGACTTCTAAGAGCCAATAAAGTATAGCTCCTTCATCACAGACAGCCCATTAACAACCCATGTTTATTAGTAGAAATCCTCTGAACTTAACGTGCCTTTGTCAGCAAAAGTAATTGATGTTGGCCAGTTAATTTGGCTGTTGCAAACGAAGACTTGCCACTCTTACCAGTGGGCCCCATGGGCGACAGTGCCTCCAACTAGCGATTTCCAGGAGCACTGAGCCCATCCGGCTCTTAAAATAGTTTGGTATTGGCCCTCCCTGGTGGCGCAGCGGGTTAAAGCA